AAAAAAAAAAAAATTAAAAAAAAAAAAACAAAAAACAAAATAAAAGCACAAGTGAAATATTGTAAATAGTTCAGTAAGACTCTGAAACAACACATAGATATGTGATGTTTTTCTGTTCTTGAAGTATTTGGGCTTTTAAAGCACATTTTTCAACAGAGACCAACGAATGAATGAAATATATTTTTGAGGAGGACTCTTGATCAAATTCTTAATTTCCTTCTGATTCCAATCCCTGGCCAACCCCATATATTTATTTTTGTCCTTGAATCACATAGCCCTGGAATCCCTTATTGTTCCTCCCTGCTCTTCAACTCCTACCGAGGTCAATGGGAGGTCAGCTAAACCTAAATAATGGCTTCTTGTTTATGACTAATAATTTCAAAAGTTACTTCATAACCACATGAGAAATTACACTTTACTTGTGTGGTCTGAATGTTCGGTATTTTTTAGGGCATTCTCATGAGGTTTCCTTTCTGTGAGCTGAGGTAAGGCTATTTGAAAGATAATATTCAGTAATATCTTGGATACCATTTCAAAGCCTTTGTCTTTTCTATGTACTTTTTCTGCTCACCATATAGAGAGAAGAGGCACTTGATGGCAACATTAAGCAAATTTTTTTTTCTCCCATGAGGAAAAACACATTTCTTCCTTTATATAAACTATGATCCATAAACGTCCTAGAGTCTTTTATAATGCATGTGGTATTTCCACAATTCCTGCACAGCTATCTGCTGCTCTACTTAGCAGGTCATTTTTTAGTTAGCTAGTTTGTGTCTGGCTCTCCATGGACTCACCAGAGCTGAACCACTTGTCCAAAGGCACCAATGGACACATCAGTGATGGAATCCCCATTTAAATCACTGTAGCCATCCAAAGATCTCCCAAAGTACTGGAGATGGCTCCTAAAGGCTCCATCAGATCCCAAGATTTTCTGAAAGAGCAAGTTTGACATGAACTTATAATGCACAACAACTGAAGTAGAAAAAAGGAGCTTTTATACAGCACTGTTAGATTCTCTATACAGCCACTTCTCAGGTTGTTTTATTCTCCACAAAATTCCATTGGTTTTTCAATCACAGCCTTTCTCATCGGTTGATCATTCTTGCAGCCACGTCAAAGAACCAGCATGAATCTTTTAATATAAAAATCACAAAGCAGAAGGAGATGAGTGGACGGAGTGGGATTTGAAGGTTGTGATTGCTCTCTTAGCCCACTTCCTTCAGGACTTTACTGGAAAGTTGCCTGATCAATGAGGTCCTCTTGGTCACCCTTTAGAATATCTGATAACTCCCATACCTGAACTTTAAAAAAATTTTTTTTAAATTCCCTATCATTTATGATGATCTGAATCACTTTATCTCATTTATTGTCCCTTAGTCTTGACAAAAACATAAGATCCACGAAGCGCAGAATGATACTCACATGTCAATACATCACCATGGAACTCACGGATTACCTGGGAATACTTCATGCGAATGGTGCCCTCGTGACCATTGTAGATGTACACAGCTCCAGAGTTCTGATTTTCCAAAGGTGAACCAACTATTACATCATTAAAACCATCCATGTTGATATCTGAAAGAGCTGCAATCGCTGAACCAAACCGAGCATTTTCAACACCCTTAGGGCCTTCAAGAAATTGGTGCCAATTCAAAACGCCCTTGGAAAGGGGAAAAGGGGATGATTAAAGCAAAACCTTATAATTTTTATCATTACAATTCACAGCAAGTGATGCCCAAACCAATTTTTAAACTGTTAAAAGTAGACAATTTTGAATCTAGATTTCAAAATCCTCTACTTATGATGAGAATCATACCTAAGAATTCTAGCAAGTAAATTCATAGGATATGTGCTCATAGACCAAAGTGAAAGGAGGGAATTCTCTTTACGGTGACTGTACAACCTACATAAAACTATCCATACCTTTGGCTCCTTTTCCCCTAAACATTAGACTCTTTACCTGTTTCCAAACCTTTTGATTTAAAATTTGCTGATGAAAATATACTAGTATCTTAAATAAAATTAAGGTGGAGACACAAAAAAACACAGTATCTTAATTTAGACCTTTACTTAAGAATTACTGAAGAGTGGCATAACTATAATGGGATAGGAAGTCAAAAATGAGACAGTTAGGTTCTGGTCCAAGGTGGCAACCCTGAACTCACTTCCTCCATGGAACATACCAAATTACACCTATTAAAAGGATAATTCCTCCTGAAAAAGAACTGAGGGCTGACTGAACAGTTACTGAACAACCAAAGATAGAAAAAATGGCAAGAGAACAACAAGAGAGATGGGAGCGCAGTAACAAAGGGAAACTGATGCAGTGGGAATGCATAGTACTGAGCGACCAGGAACAGATTCCTCTATTCTTGGCACAGAAAATAAGCCACAGTTTACAAGAGCAATTAGCATAGAAGATGTGGTGTGTGTGTGTGTATACACATACACACGTATATGTACATGTACCTGTATATGTATAATATGTTTACATGTATAAGTATATGTATAATGGAATATTACTCTGATCAAAAAGAATGAAATCTTGCCATTTGCAACACCGTGGATGGAACTAGAATGTATTATCCTAAGCAAAATAAGTCAGGCAGAAAGACAAATACCATATGATTTCACTCATTTGTAGAATTTAACAAAACAGATTAACATAGGGGAAGGGAAGGAAAAACAAGGTAAGAATAGAGAGGGAGGCAAACCATAAGAGACTCTTAACTACAGAGAACAAGCTGAGGGTTGCTGGAGGGGAGGTGGGTGGGGGATGTCTAAATGGGTGATGGGTAGTAAGGAGGGCACTTGTTGGGATGAGCACTGGGTGTTATATGTAAGAGATGAATCACTAAATTCTACTCCTGAAACATTATATGTTAACTAACTTGGATTTAAATAAAATTAAAAAGAAAAATAAAAGCAATCAGCATATAAAATAGACAACACTAGAACTCTGCCACATGGTGGAGGCAGTTTTAAAAGGGCCAAGGAGTGGTAGCGACACTCTCTTCCCTTCTATCTTAGAAGCACAGACTGGAGCAGGGTCCGAACACCCTAATTAGTGGGTTCAGATGCCATAACAGGCAGCTCTCAATACTATTAAACAAATTTTTTTAATGTTTATTTATTTTTGACAGCGAGACTGAGAGTGCATGTGCCTGAGTTGGGGAGGGGTAGAGAAAGAGAAGAATCCTGGAGTAGGCTCCAGGCTCTGAGCTGTCAGCACAGAGCCCAACGTGGGGCTCATACTTGGGAATGCTGAAATCGTGACCTAGACCGAAGTCAGACACATAACCAACTGAGCCACCCAGGTGCCCCATGGTCTCAACACTATAAATGGCAGGTCTGGTCATCACAGGGAGCTTGCCACCTCAGCAAGCCCAGGGTCTGCAAGCCCACACCAGCTTCTGTGGTACCAGGACACAGAAAATAAGCTGTGGAATTTTAGGGCTCCCTTTGTTTTTGTTTTAAATTTAATTAAAAAAACCAAGTTTTAATTTTTAAATTTTTAAAGTTTAAAAGAGTAACTAGCATATACCGTCCAGCTCCAGCCAACCAGCAAAAGCCACTAAGCACACACAGTCTGCACAAGCGGACACCATACACAAGTACCATTCACCATCCTTCAAGTTCAGGAGCAATAGCCATTCTCCCTAATCCTCAGAAACAAAGTCAAGCAAAATGCAGAGACAGAGGAATACATTCCAAAAGAAAGAAGGAAAAACCGTAGAAAAAGAACTAAATGAAACAGATAAGGGACATGGTGGATAAAGAATTTAATGATTGTGAAGATACTGGGCTGGAAAAAAACGTGGAAGATCTCAGTGCCACTTTCAATGAAGACATGGAAAATATTAAAAAGAGCCAGAGTTGAAGAATATAATAACTGAAATAAAAACACACTAGAGGGAATCAACTGTTTATTAGAAGATGAAGAATATACCAGCAACCTGGATGACAGGGTAATGGAGAGCATACAAGTTGAACAGCAAAAAGAAAAAGGAATTTTTAAAATCATGATAGATTAAGAGAGCTTGTGGACAACATCAAGCAAACATTCATATTATAGGGGGTCAGAGGGGGAGGGGGAGAGGGACGAGGAGGAGGAGGAGGAGAAGGAGGAGAAGGAGGAGAAGAGAGAAGTGTATAGAAAACTTATTTGAAGAAATAAAAACTGAAAACTTCCTTAACCTAGGGAAGGAAATAGACATTCAAGTCCACAACAAGTTCCAAACAAGATGAACCCAAGGAGGTTCACACCATGGCATATAATAATTGAAGTGTCAAAAGATTACAGATAAAGAGACAATCTTAAAAGCAGCAACAGAGAAACAAGAAGTTACTTAGAAGGGAAAAATCTATAAGACTCTCAGCTTATTTTTTCAGCAGAAACTTTGTAGGCCAGAAGGGAGTGGTATGATATATTCAAAGTGCTGAAAGGAAAAAACCTGCCACCAAGAATAATCTACTAGGCAGGGTTATCATTCAGATTTGAAGGACATACCAAGAGTTTCCCAGACAAATGAAAGATAATGGGAGTTCATCACCAGTATACCAGCCTTACAAGAAATATTGAAGGAACTTCTTTAAGTGGAAAAGAAATGGCCATAATTAGGCCTAAGAAAATAGTGAATAAAAAGCTGTACAATATGACAACATATACATAGAATGTGGAGAAGGGAGTAAAAAGGGAAGAGAAGGGGAAAAAGAAAAAGGTTTTCCCTTCCCCCATTGGAATGTGTATGAACTTAAATGACCATCAAATTAATGCAGACTGCTATCTACTTATGATGTTATGGTAACCACAAACCCAAAACTTATCATACATACAGAAAAAGAAAGCTAACACTAGAGAAACTCACCAATCACAAAGAGAATGGGAAGAAAAAAGGAGAACAATAAAACAACCAGAAAAATTTAAAAATGACAAAAAGTACATACCTGTCAATAATCACTTTAAATGTAAATGACCTAAATACTCCAGCCAAAAGACATAGGGTGACAGAGTGAATAAACAAAACAAAAGCAAACAAACAAACAAGACTCATCTATATGGTGCCTATAAGAGATTCACCTCAGACCTAAAGACACATTCAGACTGAAAATGAAAGGATAGAAAAAATATTCACCATGCAAGTGGAAGTGAAAAAAAAAGCCAGGTAGCAATACAATATCAGACAAAATAGGCTTCAAAAAAAAAAAAAAAAAAAAAAAAAAAAAAAAAAAAAAGACCATAATAAAAGACAAGGCATTCCATAATAATAAGGATCAATCCAACAACAGGATACAACAATTGTAAATATCTACACACCCAAAACTGGAGCATCCAAATATATAAAGCAAATATAAATGGACAAAAAGAGAGAAATGGATGGTAATACAATAATAGTAGGGGACTTTAATATCCCACTTACATCAATGGATAGATCATCCAGACAAAAAAAACAATAAGGACAGTGTCTTTGAATGTCACATTGGACTAAATGCACATAACAGACATATACAGAACATTCCAACCCCAAACGACAGAATACACATTATTTTCAAGTGCACACGGAAGATTCTGTAGAATAAATCACATGTTAGGCCATAAAACAAGCCTCAATAAATTTAAGATTGAAATCATACCATACATCTTTTCTGATCACAATAGTATGAAACTAAAATAAATCACAAGAAAAAAAAAACTGGAAAAAAACACATGGACACTACACAACATGATACCAAAAAACCAATGGGTCAATAAAGCAAAGAAAAAAAAAACATGGAGATGACTGAAAATAAAAACACAATGGTCCAAATTCTTTGGGATGCAGCAAAAGCAGCTCCAAGAGGGAAGTATACAGTGATATAGACCTGTGTCAAGAAATCAGAAAAAGCTCAAACAAACAATATAACCTTACACTAAAGGAACTAGAGAAAGAAGAACAAACAAAAACAAAAGGTGAGTAGAAGAAATAATAAAAATCAGAGAAGAAATAAATGGCATAGGCAAAAAAATAAATAAATAAACTGAGTTGGTTCTTTAAAATGGTAACCAAAATTGACAAACCTTTAGCCAGATTCATCAAGAAAAAAAAAGGACCCAAATAAGAAATGAGAGAAAGTAACAACTGACACCACAAAAATATAAAGGATTATAAAAAATTATAGACCTACAAACTAGGCAACCTAGAGGAAATTGGTAAATTCCTAGAAACATACAATATTTCAAAACTGAACCAGGGAGAAAAAGAAAATATGAACAGACCCATTATAAGTAACAAAACTGAACTGGTCAAAAAAATACCAAAAAATAAAAAAATCCAGGACCAGATGGATTCACAGGGTAATTTTACCAGCCACTTAATGAAGAGTTAATACCTATTCTCCTCAAACTATTCCAAACAATGGAAAAGGAAGGAAAGCTTCCAAATAAATTCTACAAGGCCAGTATTACCCTGATACCAAAACCAGACAAAGACCCCACAAAAATAAAACTATAGGCTAATATTCCTGACGAACATAGATGCAAAAGTCCGCAGAAAAATATTAGCGAATTAGCAACAATACATTAATAAGACCATTCACCACAATCAGGTATGATTTATTACAGGAATGCAAGGATGGTTCAATATTTACAAATCAATCAATGTCATAAACCACACCAACAAAATGAAGAATAAAAATCATGGTCATCTCAATAGATGCAGAAAAAGCATGTGACAAGATTCAACATCAATTCAAGATAAAAACTTTCAAAGTGGAGTTAGAGGGAAGACACTTCAACATCATAAAGGCCATATATGAAAAACCCACAATAATATCATACTCAATGGTGAAAAACAGAGTTTTCCCCTCTAAGGTCAGGAACAGGATAAGGATGTTCACTCTCATCATTTTTATTCAATATAATACTAGAAGTCCTAGCCACATCAATCAGACCAAAAAAGAAATAAGAGGCATCTATGGGGGTAAAGAAGAAATTAAATTGTCACTATATGCAGATAACATGATACTATATAGAGAAAATCCTAAAGACTACACCAAAAAACTACTGGGAGCAATAAATTCAGTAAAGTGGCAGGGTGCAAAATTAATACCCAGAAATCAGTAGCATTTCTATATACTAACAATGAAGCTGCAGAAAGACATTAAAATGTCATTTACAACTGCACCAGAAATAAAATATCTAGGAATTAACTTAACCAAAGAGGTGAAAGACATGTACTCCAATCAGTATAAAGCACTGATGAAAGAAACTAAACACAACACGAACCAATGGAAACACATTCCATCATGCTCATATTAATATTGTTAAAACGTCCATACCACCCAAAGCAATCTACGCACTGAATGCAATCCCTATCAAAATACCAACAGCATTTCTCACAAACTAGAACAAATAATACTAAAATGTGTATAGAACTACAGAAGACCCTGAATAGCCAAAGCAATCTTAAGAATGAAGCTGGAGACATCACAATTCCAGGTTTCAAGATATACTACAAAACCACAGCAATAAAAACAGTATGGTACTGGCACAGAAATAGACACACAGATCAATGGAACAGGTTAGAGACTCCAGAAATAAACCCACAATTATATGGTCAATTAATCTATGAAAAAGGAGGCAAGAAGAGACTGTGGGGGAAAGACAGTAGTACTAGGAAAACTGGACAGCTACATGTTAAAGAATGAAACTGGACAATTTTCTTACACTGTACACAAAAATAAACTCAAAATGGATTAAATACCTAAATGTGAGACCTGAAACCATAAAAATCATGGAGGACGACACAGGCAGTAATTTCTCTAATGTCAGCAATAGTAACATTTTTCTAGATACGTCTCCTGAGGCAAGGAAAACAAATGCAAAAATAAACTATTGAGACTACACCAAAAATAAAAAGGCTTCTGCACAGCAAAGGAAATCATTGACAAAACAAAAAAACAACCTACCGAATGGAAGAAGATATCTACAAATGAAAGATCCAATAAAGGATTAATAGTCAAAATATATAAAGAACTTCTACAACACCAAAAAACCCCAAACAATCCAATTAAAAAATGGACAGAGAACCTGAATAAACATTTTCCCAAAGAAAACACAGATGGCTGACTCATGACAAGATGCTCAACCTCACTCATCACCAGGGAAATGCAAATAAAAACCACAATGAGATATCAACTGACATCAGTTAGAATGGCTAAAATAAAAATGACAAGAAATAACAAGTGTTTGCAAGGATGTGGAGAAAAAGGAGCGCCCTTGTGCACTGGTTGGTAGTATGGTAAATTGGTGTAGCCACTGTGGAAAACAGTGTGCAGTTTCCTCGAAAAATTAAAAATAGAAATACCATATGGTTCAATAATTCCACTATTGGATATTTGCCCAAAGAAAGCAAAGACTTACTTGAAAAGATATATGCACTCTTATATTTATTGCAGCATTATTTACAACAGCCAAGATATGGGAACAACTTAAGTATCCATCAATAGGCAAATGAATAAAGAAAATGTGTCCACATATGTGTGAGTATTACACAACCATAAAAAAGGAGGAGATTGTGCCATTTGAGATAACATGAATGGAACTGGAGGGTATTATGCTAAGTGAAATAAGTCAGAGAAAGACAAATACCATATGATTCCACTAATAAGTGGAATTAAAAAAAAAAGTAAATGAATAAATAAAAAGCAGAATCAGACCCATAAATACAAAGAACAAACTGGTGGTTGCCAGAGGGGCAGGGGGTAGGGTTGGGCAAAATAGGTGAAAGGGAGAGGGAGATACAGGCTTCCAGTTATGTAATGAATAAATCACAGGAATAAAAGTCACAGCATAAGGAATATAGTGAATGATATTATAACGTAAAAGGACAGATGAACATAGCGGGATGGGACGTGTAAACTTGTCAGATCACTTTGTTATATACCTGAAACTAATGTAACATGGTGTGTCAACTATACTCAGAAAAAAAAAAGAAAAGAAAATGAGATTGTTAATGTCACATTATAAAAAAAAAATAAGTCTGCCTAAAATTTTTTTTCTTGTAAAAGATAGGTTTTTTTTTCCAGATTTTGAAATCAAGAATGGAAATAATTCATGACTTCACAAGAGAGCAATGCTCCTCATCCATGAAACGGGGTCAGTGTTGATTCTTTCTTCTCTATAATAATCTTATGGAAATCACTTTGTTATGAAGATTGACAAAGTATTATGAGATCTTCTCATCTTCAACAATGATAATTCAGAATATTTGACAGGAAACATTTAAGAAACTAGGGTTTTGTTAAATTTTTAAACAATTATATTTGCCCCTCCCTTATTGAATATTCAATTACACATCTTTAAATGCTTTAGAACTGTGTTAATTGCCTCTATCTGAGAGCTAATGTTTACATTAATTTAAATAAGTAAGGTAGGACAAACTACCACAAAAGCAAAGCATAATACTTATTATATTAACATCAGCTTCTCTTTTTTCCATCCTTTCTCTAATTTTCTAGGTCAACTTGTGCTTTTAATTTTGGTTTTCTTTTCAGTTCCGAGTTCATTATACTTCTGGGCATGGACTTAGAGAGCATAGTCCAGTTAGTGTATGCTAAGTTTTATGTGCAAGGACTAAAAATTCCAAGAGCTGGGTATACACATACCTAACTGCTACACTAAGCAACAGAATTTGACAAACTAATGTAGAAAACATCCAGGATTATATGAAAGTTTGCAAAGTGCCTGGTACAATTTGAGTTTTTCACTGTAAAATGTGAACAGGATAGTTCTGTTATTATGATCTCTTCACAGTAAAGAAGAATAATTGAATGAGATACTTAGGAAATACACAGACATTTGTGTGTGCATGTACATACATTTCAAAAATGATGTGCATTTATATAAGGATTTCATTTGTACAGTATAGATTCAAAGATCCCTCATGGAAAATGGCAGTGGACTATACATGTAGCTCCTTCTCTACAGGTTATGCTTTTTGATGTGATTTTTAAAATTTTAATGGTGACATCCTCAAAATGATGAAATATAAACTATACTACATATGAAAATGATAATTCAAGGGGCGCCTGGGTGGGTCAAGAAGTTAAGCGTCCAACTCTTGATTTTGGCTCAGGTCATCACCTCATGGTTCTGGAGTTTGAGCCCTGCATCAAGCTGTGCAGAGCCTGCTTGGGATTCTCTCCCTCCCTCCCCTCCTCTCTCAAAACAAATAAGCTTGAAAAAGAGAAAATGATCATTCACTGATTCTTCTGCAAAAATGCAGATTAATGTTTTATTTACCAATATTAAAGCAAATTCAACTGAATCAGTTTAATACTTTTTTTTTTTTACCTTTGTGATAGTAAACAGGTAGACTCTTCCTTCCTCTTTCTTTAAGTCATTCATGTACATCGGTGCACCCACCAAGAGCACATCTGTAACGGTGTCTTTATTCACATCAACTGAACACAGCACGCTACCAAAATAGGAGCCAATCTGTAAGGATAAAGCATATTAACCTTAGGATTCTTATGACTCATATACTCTTAATGTTATACTGAACTTTCATTTACTCATTCAACAAACAGAAATAGAGCACTTACTACCTGTAAGGTACTAGAAACATTTAGATAACAGTCCCTTCTCTCAGGTTGTATCATGATGTAACACTTGGTTCTTAAACCTTAGTGTGCACACAAATCACCAAGAAAGACTCTGAATGGGTGCAATCTAGAAAACGGTATGTTAAATAAGTACCCCAGGTGTTTCTGGTGCTGGTGGGTCAAAGACCACATTTAAAAGAGAAACATTTAGGAGGTTTGTGATGTGTGTCATAGAGAAATGCAGGAGGGGGAAGAGGGAGTTGGGACAAATGACTTTGCCTGCCTGTGCAGTTAAGTAGGTTGTCATAGAGGCAATGGCCAAATGCTGTGTGATCAGAGTGCAGGTGTCAGGAAGGCTCAGAAAGATTAAGTGTTATATAAACGGCATCTTAAAAAACAAGGAATTTTCTAGGTGGAGAAGAGTGGGCAGGCATGTGTGATGTAAGTGTCTGTAGCATGATCTTGCACAAGAGACAAGTTCTCAGATACATCAGATACAATGAAATCTCAGATACAATGAAATAAGAGAGGCTGGGAATCCGAATGCTCATTGCACGCCTATGTGAATACCTCTTAAGGATTTGGCAATGAACAAGAAAGGATTCATCCTATAACACGGTCATTGTTTTTCCTCACAATAAAATCATGGTTCTTTAAAATTTAAAGAGAGCAAAGTATGTGTCCATAGCTGGTTTGTGGTCAAGGAAGTCAAAGACTCAGGTTCTCTTACTCCTGGAAAATCCATAGACAGTAGGATCACACTTAATTCCAGAAAAGGGAAAACTAAATAGCCGGTTTCTCTAACTCCAGGAAGGAAAATTTGTTGTCAGAGATCAGGGTTGCCTATTTGAAATATGTGCCAAGCCCATGGGTTAGAGCTGCTTGGTGAGGAAATAGGAATCTATTCAGCTGGCCTTTGTTCTAGTCAGACATGACTGGGAGTCATCACAGGTTCTGACTATCAAACTGTCATGTTGAGAAGAAAGTGGTGGAAAAGAGAGTTGCTTTAATTTTAGAAACATCAAAGCCACAGGACACCTTGACAGGCCCAGATGTAGTAGCCCAGTCTTGACAACGCTATCCTGCTCCTGTCTTCTCACTTTTCCTCCAGATCATTGACTCCTTGCAAGAGCTTGCCAACAAAGCTGTGGTTAGGACCCAATAATACACATGTAGTAGTAATTTAGGGAGTCAAAAGTATGCAGCTGGATATAACCAAACAGCACAGGCTTTGAGTCTACACACGACTGGGTTTTAATGACAGCACAACCCCATGAAAACTCTTTGACCTTAAGAAGGTAAATGCCCAGTTACCTGTTAGAAGGTGACAGATCTCAGTATTGTGAAGATTTAAGGAATCTTCAAGTGAATACAGGTCACAGAAGCAGCCACAGGGTAGGCACGCAATGCTAGTTTCCTTTTCTATCAACTCCCCACTCCTCATCTGCTCTGGTTGACCCCACGATTAATTTCATCTGCTACAAAATGGACTTTACCTGGTCACCTCGGTGAGCCTGAATAACGGTGACATTGCCATTCTCGTCAACACTGTATAGCACTATCTGGCCAGTGTAATTTGCCCGAGGAGCACCAGCAACAAAGTGAACATCTTTTCCGGTAGAAATTGCAGCCACAGAGTAACCTAGAGGAGAAGGACTTGCAGAGGTAGGTGCTATTGAAGAGCTCAGCAGATGGGCTCCCAAAGTTAGTAGCAATGACCAGAGGTCCTTTTTTTGTTAGGAGGCAGGTGTTAGAAAGTGGAGGAGGGTCAGTAATGTACCCTCCAGACTGAGAGGTATTTTGATACTGAAAAACGAAGCAAGCCACTCCATATCGTTCACACAGAGTTTTATTAGGGGTAACTTACCCAGTGGGGGAAGGTGGGGTGCAGACGGACAGATGATCCAAGCCATTACATAACTCTTCTACGCAGCTATTCCCCACCCCTACTCAGGCCTTCATCTCCAGTTTTTATGGAGGGAGGGGCACGGTGGTGAGGTCACAGGGTAGTTACCTAAAGCAGCACCATGTGTGCACCACAGGATGTCTGCTAGTTGTCTAGAGTGGTGCCACCTGTGCCCCAGGGCCCTCTGCTGCTTATCTAAAGTGGTGGCATCTGGGGGGCGCTTGGGGGGGCTCAGTTGGTTAAGCATCTGACTTCACCTCAGGTCGTGATCTCACATTTCTTGGGTTCGAGCCCCGCGTCGGGCTCTGTGCTGATGGCTCGGAGCCTGGAGCCTGCTTCAGATTCTGTGTCTCCCTCTCTCTCTGCCCCTCCCCCACTTGCACTCCGTCTCTCTCTCTCTCAAAAAATGAATAAACATTAACAAAATTGTTTTAAGTGGTAGCATCTGTGCACCAGAGGGGAGAACAAGACAGAGGGCCAAAGGTGAAGTCAGTGTGATCCGTGCTCCCTCAGGGCGATGCCCAGATCTAAGTGTGCTCCGCACGGGTGTGACACCTGCCTGTAAAACAGGCCCTAGATTCTGGGTTGTCCCATCAGCCCCTCATGAACTTGGCACTCAACAAGTATTTTTTGAATGAACAATTACATGAATTTAAAAGGTAATGGAATGCAGTGGACAGAACATAGGCTATGGAGTCAGACAGTCCCAGGTTCAAATTCTGGATTTGCCGCTTGCTAAGTCGTTTGCCTTTGGGCAAGTTATTAACCTCATTGGCTCTCAACGGTAAAATGGGAATAATAATACTTTCTTCAAAGGGTTGTGGGAAGGATTTAAATGTTTATGTAGATAGAATAGCCAGCTCAGGAAGTGTCCCATAGTAGGTACTCAAAATCAGTGGCTGCTTATTATAGGAACCAAAAAGACTAAGAACTCTAAATTAATATAAGACTCCCATTTACTATATTGGCTTCTAGGAACTATTTCCATTTAGGAGAAGTGCAAGCACTTCCCAGGAATAACTACTGCTTGAATAGCCAGAAGACATCAGTAAGTGTAATACAGTATGTCATTAAATAGTTATAGCCAAGGTCTGAGTTGCAAAGAGGCAACATAAACATGTGTAATAAATATAATAATTAGATGACACTTCAAGGGCTTTGCTTAATGGATCTTGAAACTCAGAGAGGGGCTAGTTTTTTCAAAATTGTTTTTAAACTTTATTTATTATTAAGAAACAGAGAGAGACAGAGCATGAGCAGAGGAGGGGCAGAGAGAAAGGGAGATAGAAACTGAAGCAGGCTCTAGGCTCTGAGCTTTCGGCACAGAGCCCAATGTGGGGCTCGAACTCACAAACCACAAAGTCATGACCTGAGCGGAAGTTGGATGCTTAACCGACTAAGCCACCCAGGCGCCCCCCAGCAAGGGGCTAGTTTAAAAAAAGGGAGCTTAAATTTTCTGAGTCAAATGCTGCTATGCCTTACCTAAATATGAACTGTGATTTTTATCTTGCAGAATTTGGTCAAAGGCTTGTTTAGGAAAGATCATATGTCCATGAGATGTCTGCTGGACCACGGTACCACTCCAGCCATAAGCTCCTACTGCACCCAGCATCAGAATATCCTAAAATAAATGAAAAATGAAGACCATGAAAATAAACCATGTTTAAGGCACGAGAATGCAGGGGAGGCAAAACATTGAAATAAAGGGTCTAGATTTAAGAAGAAGATGATAAAGTAAAACGTATATGAATGTATGTCCAAATTGATATATGCTCAAATTGTTTTAATATATTTTGTGCTGGAGAAAAGTCTTCCCTGGGGCTATGTTACCTTGATACATTCTATAGATAAATCTCTACTATGCTACAGGAGAAGCACATAGCCACTTTCCGATTTGCATTCAGAGGCCCCCCATCTGCAAATGCCAAACAGTGTGAGCTGTTAGAAAGAAGTCAGAAATGAGCCTCCTGTCTCACATAGTCATAAGAAAAGTTCACGGTCGGATGTGGGGCATGCTTGAGAAAATAGGAAGTGCAGCTGGCAGAGGAAGAGAGGTGGGGCGTTTCTGCTGTCCAGGCACATCATCCTGGCAGGCCCCCTTCTGACCTATTCTATTTTCAACATTCTTTCTCTTTCCTCTTGGTCACTTCTCAGATGTTCCTCCATCATCTATATCCTATCCCATCTGTTTGAAAACAGCTCAGCGATGAAAGGTAACTAGGGCAGAACATTCAGTCTACTTGGTGGAGAACAGCCACGGTCAGCACAGCGGGGTTGGGGGGCGGCACACAAGAAATACAGGCTGCCCTGAGGGACTCGACATCCACCCAAACAGTCAAAAGCGATACATCACCACAGAAGGCAGGGTTGTCAGGATGGGATTTATTATTTTTTTCAGTTTTTGATCTTAGATCGTAGAAAACACCAAAGTTACGGATTTTGGATTGAAAAATAAAAGCCATTAAAAATACAGCAGGTTGGAAGATGATGTGCCCATTTTGAGGACAAGAGACCATGAAATGAAGAGAATGACTGTCATAAATGTGGGACTCTGAATCAGGGGTGCAGGAAAGGACTACAGAAGTGTACAAAAATCTCAGGAAGGTGTGTGCAAGATTCTCTGTGTGAGGGTTCATTTACATTTTTTTTTTTCCGGAGGGAAAAACCCATAACTTTTATGAGTGAGTATCTCTAACGACTGGTGATCCAGAAAAAGTTAGCGCCTTTTATTCTCGAGAAAAAAACCCCAAGCCGTTCCTGATCCTTGCTTCTGGCAATCAAATTCTCTGAGTTCATACTGTTCCCTAGGCTTTTCCAGTGTCACTGTGTCTGGGCCCTTTACTATCCCACCAGGACCCTGAGCAGAGTTGGAACCAGAGCCCTAGGAAGTGGATGTTTATGACACGGAAGAATGGATTTTCTGAGCTAAGAAGACGTTGCATCTCACATGTGTCCTAACTCCTCACTTTTTCACCTATCTTCTGTCTCTGCTCTTAGAAAAGAGATACTCTGGCAACTCAGAATTCACCAACGGCAGTGCTAACAAGAGTTTGTGTGTGTTTTTTTTAAATAAACTTTTCTGGTAGTTAATTGATTTAAAGGAGATTCCTGCAATGACAATCCCTTGAATTAATACAGTGCTTGTCCTTTGGAGCATTTTCTTTTTTTTTCCATAAAAACCTCTGTGAAACGCGGAAGAGAAGGCATTGTTATCCTTCACTTTTTAGTTGACAAAGCAGCAGCACAAAGAAACTAAACAACTATGACTGAGAAGCTGAACGTTTGCTCACTACATGGCTCCTTTTTCCACTCTCTCTATAAAGCCGCTGTGCCCAGAAGTGTTGAGCCAAATGACAGCATGGCTGGAAGTTATCTGATTACACACCTTTTGAGGAGAGTAATCTGCGCTGAATCCCACTTGTGACATTTCCATCTGGAAGTTGTCCCCTCCTTGAATAGTACCTGCAAAAAGGTAATTTTGAGAATTATATTACTGTCAAATTTTAAATCAGATTTTCAAACACACGTGCACACACAGATGCACGTGAACATATGCACACGTATGCACACACACACAATGTTCTCATGGTCACTCAAAAATATTCTGGGATGGAGAAATCACTAAGAAGTATTCTAACATATATGGGAACTCGCAATACTTCCAAGATAGTGTTTGAAGTTGGTCTTAATCTTGATTATGCATTAATGCGTTTACTTGTATGCTTAGGATGTTCTTGATATCAAAAACACTCAATATAGGGGATGAGGTAAGATAAAAACTGAAGTCATGGCCTTTTTTTTTTTTTAATTTTTTTTTTCAACGTTTATTTATTTTTGGGACAGAGAGAGACAGAGCATGAATGGGAGAGGGGCAGAGAGAGAGGGAGACACAGAATCGGAAACAGGCTCCAGGCTCCGAGCCATCAGCCCAGAGCCCGACGCGGGGCTCGAACTCACGGATCGCGAGATCGTGACCTGGCTGAAGTCGGACGCTTAACCGACTGCGCCACCCAGGCGCCCCAGTCATGGCCTTTTTTAAAAAAAAGTTATTATTCCTAGCTAAGAAATTAACTGAATTTTTAGCTTTTAAATATCGGTACTAGAGGCGCCTGGGTGGCTATGTCGGTTAAGCGTCCGACTTCGGGTCAGGTCATGGTCTCACAGTCCGTTGAGTTCGAGCCCCGCGTGGGGCTCTGTGCTGACAGCTCAGAGCCTGGAGCCTGTTTCAGATTCTGTGTCTCCCTCTCTCTGACCCTCCCCCGTTCATGCTCTGTCTCTGTCTCAAAAATAAATAAACGTTAAAAAAAATTAAAAAATAAATAAATATCGGTACTAATAAGTGTACACATATCTCAGATGCAGTTGGAAGAGCCAGGTAGCTGACATGTCATGAAGACTAAACAGACAGATATTTGGGTGAGGTTTCAGGATCCAGGATTCAAGACTGAGTAGGAATTTTACCAGTTGGGCAGTTTGTCCTACTTCTACATATGTGCCTGCCTCTGACACCAGAGCTGTAGGACTCGGTATGGTCAAAATGGTTACATTTCACTAGTCTTCACAAAAAGGAATAAGTTCCTAGACCAACAATTTGACATAGAGAGTAATACATATAATATATAACATGACACAGTCACTTGTTTAGAAGATGTAATAATTTACAAAGGATGATAAGAGATTCATTTTCTTTAAGATTTTATTTTTAAGTAATTGCTACTCCCAATACGTGGCTCAAAATCACAACCCCGAGATCAGGAGTCACATGCTCCACTGACTGAGCCAGCCAAGTGCCCCAAGACAATTTTTTTTTTTAATTTTTTTTTTTCAACGTTTATTTATTTTTGGGACAGAGAGAGACAGAGCATGAACGGGCGAGGGGCAGAGAGAGAGGGAGACACAGAATCGGAAACAGGCTCCAGGCTCTGAGCCATCAGCCCAGAGCCCGACGCGGGGCTCGAACTCACGGACCGCGAGATCGTGACCTGGCTGAAGTTGGACACCTAACCGACTGCGCCACCCAGGCGCCCCAATTTTTAATAAAGTAGCGCAGTGCTTCCCCAAAATCCATAATAGCAGATAAGGCACAAAATAATTTCTAATTGGCATTTAGGTTGAATTGTGATTATTCATGTCAATGCCACCACAAACAAGTGTAAGTTGTACCATAGGAAGCCAAATAATTTTATATTATCTCAGAGCACATTGGATTTGGATTTTGATGCTGATTTTAAACAGCTTAGAAGTATCATCAGATGTTTAAAGAAGCAATAATATTTTTTGGATAGAAGACTCCAGTGGACAATCAGGAAATAAAGATAAGACTCAGGAATTAATGCTTAATTTATGCAATGCCCCTGGACCCAGCTTCTGAAAGATACCTGATACATAGCAGGTGCTCAATAAAATAGGCTCTTTACTGTTGAGAGTTATTTGAACTAATGACCAGGAACCAGAATTTGGATCATGTGGGATTTTTTACCAACTGGGAAATGTGTTCCAAACAGTGAGTTCTTAAACATGGAGTATTTCTACACCGACTAGACCTTCCAAGGCCATATAAGTAAATTATTGTAGATCTGGTAAATAACATATTTCCTTGAAATCTGAACTATTAAAAATCTTCACTATACTTTTCTAACTTAAAAAATTTTTTTTTAACCTTTGTTTTTGTGAGACAGAGAGAGACACAGTACAAGTGAGGGAGGGGCAGAGAGAGAGAGAGGGAGGCACAGAATCCGAAGCAAGCTCCAGGCTCTGAGCTGACAGCCCAGAGCCTGATGCAAGGCTCGAACTCATGAACCGTGAGATCATGACCCGAGCCAAAGTCAGCAACCCTATACTTTTCTAACCTTAAATGTATACATGTTTGTTGTAAACAAATTCAAGAATTTCAGAAATTATATAATAGGATAGAAAGACAAAACTTTTTATGATTATAAAATATGTAGTGTAAAAAATTGTAAAACTATTTACAATTATAATAGATATTACTAAATTGCCCTCCCCCCCAAAGCTATACAATTTATAATCTTATCAATAGTATATGAGCTTCTCTGCTTCCCCATAATATCTCCAAGATCATATATTACTAATCGTTGTTATCCTTTAGGCACAAAGTAACATTGACTTAATTTATATTTTAAAACAATTACTGAAATTGGGAATATTTTCTTATGTTTACTAGCCATTTGTATCTTCTATAAACTATTTATTCATGTTGTCTACTTTTCTTACTGATTCATCGGAGTCCTTTCATATAAGGTATACAAGTTAACATTATTAGAGTAAATATACAGTAATAAAATCAAGAATTCTCGAAAAAAGTTTTTGAAAGATGGAGTTCTTTTACCTTCAATGCTAAAAATTTGTTCTCCTAGTGTCCCAGCCTTTTCTAGTAGAGCTGCTTCATCAGACACGTTGAAAAAATATCTTTCTGTTGGAATACTGGCAATTGCTTTAATTTCTTTTATTAAATTTTTGGTGTCAAGGGCATTTCTGTTTAAGTACCCAAGAACCTTGAAAATAGAGACAGAGAGAAAAAAGGTCATTATAGCTGTACTCCACTATCCCATTATACTTTCTAGTATTATATTTCTGAACAGAATGGAGCCTCTGGAGAAGTAAATCCATAACCCTGTAGTCAATGGGACTGAAAATCAACAAGACGTGGAGACAGAGTAAAAATTTTCTTTTCCTATAAAGCTGTGAGCAGCCAATGAGAGCGTGCGGTCTTGGGAAGTGATGTTACAAAGGAGCACCCATTAACTGAAAGACAACTAAAAAGCAAATCTACTTACCGCTATGCCAAACCTCAGTATATTGTAATTGTTGCATTCATCAATCACGGCCTTCAGCATTGAACCATCATGTGATTCACCATCAGTTACAACCACCATTACTTTGGTAGCACCTGGTCGTCCTCCAGCAGCTGCTGCATATGCAAAATCTCTGTGGCAGACAAAATTAAAAACTCACTATCAAAAGATGAAGCTAATATGTGGACCTCTGGTTAGAAATTTAACTTCTTCATGAAGTTAGTTCTGAAACTAACTTCTTTGAGCATGACCTATTGTGACTTGGAATTTATCTCTATGTCAGTTCTGGTGACATATTTACCTACATTCTATTTGCAGCCTAAAGGGAAATAGATATACATCTTGCATAGTTTTCATGGTATGTGCGTGTGTGTGTGTGTGTGTGTGTGTGTGTGCGTGTGTGTGTGTATTTGTGTGCACGTGCATGTATTTACATCAAGAATCCTTAGAATTATCTTCTGATAAGAAAAAATTCATTAATACTAATTAACAGAGCAAAGATATTC